GGAGTAAGCAACCCCAACCCTTAAAAATAAGCCACTGCTACCAAAACTTCAAAGCTCTAGCTTGAGTTCATATGTTAAACTGGAAACTTAAAGGAATAAATAAAAATACATATCAATCAGTAGTCCTTGCTGGCCAGCTAGATAAAAGCGATCTAGACACCACCGAACGGCTGTTCCGCTCGTTTGAGTAAATTGCCATTAGCGGTGTACCCCGGTTTTGACTCAGCTCAGTATTCAAATGGTTAGTCATCTACTGTTGCGTGTTGAAGCCCACTAGTAGACAATCGGTCAGTTAGAAGAACCCGAATCTAGTCTTATCATCTTCCACTATTTTATTACTGAGGCTATTCAACCACCAAATTGGCTGTAAAGATGATATGAGACTCAAAGTAATAATTGGGCAGGTGGAATGAAGGTTATTCGGTTTTTACACCGATGAATTATAAATTTCTTTTTACAATTAATGTCATTCCACTCGAATGCAAAAATATGAAGAAAAGAAAACCTATACTGATCATAATCCCATGACTGATTGTATGGATTATTATTATTATGATTATGATTAATAAAATATGAAACTATACACCTTCATACAAATAAGGAATAATAACACTGCTACTAACATATGTTTAACGAGTTCCTTAAAACACAATTCATATGATATTTGAACAATTATTATGTAAACACATTGAACAAACACACACGTGACAATAATATCATAGTCACACACGCACACACACTCACACACAAAACAACTGACAAGCATACAATAACTTGGTAAAATAAATAAATAAGTAAATAAATAATGAGACAAGACATGTGATATAATCTGAGGTTAGAATATACAAGCTAAGGAACAAATTCCCGTGCATTGATTTACAATAATACACGGAAGTGAGGTGTTGTATAGGTTTTGTTTTTTAAAGAGAATAAGAGAAAGTGCTTAGACGCAAGGTGAATATAGCTTCCCGAGTGGAACATAAGGTTTCAAAAGCTTTGTGAGACAGTGGTTCAATGGCATGTACATAGTCCAGCGTTCGATTCCCAGACAACACAAGCCTAAACATCACCTAGTTTGCTAGCCTATATAGTAAGTCTCGGAAAAAGAGAAAGTTGAGGAGATGAGGTTGGCAATCGCTTTCTGTAAAAAACAAACGAAACCGCTACTGCAACTTGAAAAGTAACCTGAAGCTTTATGTTCCAGATGGAACGCAAAAGGAAACGAAAAAAGGAATAATGAATTTTTCTTGTGGATCAATTGCTCATTTTCTTAATACACTATTATTATTATTATTGATACGAGTTTGACCACGGATTAATATCAGTTAAGGAACCATTAAAAGCCAGCACTAGAGTACTGGACAGCTGTTTCATCCTAGTTTGCGAGTCATCGACAGTACGCACCCATTGGGTTCGAACCCAGGACCTTCCGGTTGCAAGACAAGCTTGTAGACCATTCAGCCACTGAGACGAAACTCAATGACCCATGAATTCTAACTTCTACCAATTCGTGATTTAGCGCGACCCAGTGGGTGCGTATTGCCGATGATTCCCAAACTAGGATGAAACAGCTGTCCAGTACTCCCTGGTTTTCAATACTTCTCTGACTGATATCAATCCGTGGTCAAACTCGTATAAACAAATCTAATCCTTACAAACCAAACTCTTGAAAATTATTATTATTATCTAACACCAACTTGGTACATTATGGGTACCAAAAGATGCGCTATACAAAAATAATAGGACAACAATATATAAGGAAAATAGGGATAGAATGGATTCAGCACTTTATCTAGAAAACAATTAGGCATACCTCTCAAGATGATCGTAAGGATGGTTCATTACTTCATGCTACTTTTACAGAATGGGAAGAAAGGAGGAGATTACAGCAGGTTCATTGTTTGGTCATATCTGATAACGTCTCGAGTTACTGGTTCGAACTATCTTTCGAGCAATGCTGCTATAAATCACCTGGTACAGAGTCAAAGGTGGGTAGACATCGGTCTTCCTCTCGAGATGTTCTCATGTGACCAAGCGTTCATAGATCTCGGCTGGACACAGGGTCGTGTTCTCACAAAAGCGGAAGATGAAATGAGAACATCTAGCGCTTATAACCGGACTGGCGGACATAAAGATCCACCTAAACTCTGATTCCAAACTGATGGTGCACATTGACTACATAATCCAAAAGGATTGAATGGTACATGAATCTGTTTTGATCACCAAAGACCATGGGAACGTAGCTCTTGACACTGCTTTACTGTCTTGTCGATCAGACTTCAACACAAAGGCTCGGAAGTAGAGAGTCCCTTAAAACAATCCTGTGATTCGTTTTGAGTCTTTGAATAGTATCTCAACCCTCGCATCAATCATGAAACAACAATTAATGAGAAGGTACAGGATTTCATCATGAGCTGACATTAGTTAGAGAGCCATTGGAAAACCTGCAGGGATTACTGGACAGGTGTTTCGTCAACTTGGTTTGGGACTCTTCATCAGTACGCACACACACTGTGGGATTCGAACCCAGGACCTTCTGGTTACAAGGCGAGCTCGTATACCATTAAGCCACTGGGACCCGATCCAATGGCCCATGAATTCTAACTTTTGCCAATTCACGACATAGCGCCACCCCTAGCCAATGTCTTCGGCGAGCATTTGCCCTCACACCCGACCTGCTGCAAACTACTGGACCCTGCTAATGTCAGCTCATGATGAAATCCTGTAACCAATCAAATCCCTACAAACCAACACTTGAATTAATGAGGAACTATAATCACGTGCTCACTATTTCCTGAATACATCTGTATTTCACAAAAATAAGTAAAAGCGTTGGAGTAATAGGAAGAAGTGAGATTGATGAACAGGTCGAATCAAGCGTATTTCTTATGATTAAATAAGCTGATGAAGAACCATCATTTAGAATGAAAATAATTTCTATACCGAAGAATAATTATCATAGCTGATATTGAACTCTGAGTTCAACTTGCTCTCCCTTATTAACGCTCAGCAGTATGATATCGCTAAACTGTCCAATACCAAACACAACACAGTAGTAGTGTATCGAGAAGTCACCTTAGCTTACTGATAGTATTGAAATCTAACTAGACAATAAAATATAACTGATCAGAAATATGCAAAAGTTGAAGAAAACATGTACAGTGGTAGAAATATCACTGTAAGAAAAACAACTCAGTCGTAATAAGAAAGAAAAAGAGAATAATCTCGTTGAATAGCACTTATAATAACGCTATCATAGAAAAATATCTACCTATTTACTGAAAGTTATGTGTACTAAGCACCAGTGTGCTTTCTCTTACTATTCAACTATTGAATAGTTATTAGAGATTGAAGGTTTCAAGATGCTAGGTACTACATATACAAAATATGCTGAATAAATTACCAATTACAAACTTAGCGTAGATGGGATAAGCTACATCGAAAACTAGCCAGAATCGTAAATAAAGTCGTTATAGATAATGGATACAAGGCATAAAAAAACCCATCGAAAGAAGAGGCTCCAAGATAGAAGCTGTAAACTGCTCATACTAAACAAAATGTCAAAAAGACTGAAAGTATTGAATCAGTGGACTAAAACAAGCTACTTCTCAAGTGATAACAGATGGGGATCAATTGACGATAAGTTAAGATAGACAGTTATTTAATTTTTTTTTAATGATACATGGAGAAATTTGGTTGAAGAAATTGCCCGCTAAAAGAGCACAGTTATATAGATGATTTTTAAGTACCATTGAATATATAGAACATAAAGCCCACGTATATTCGAAGAATTACAGTGAATTCTGAAAAGCTTAGGCACAACAATAAACCGGGTTTGAGCCCCGGTGGGTGCGTACTGATGAAGAGTCCGAAACCGGGACGAAACAGCTGTCCAGTACTCCCAGGTTTTCCAATGGTTCTCTAACCAATGTCAGCTCATGATGAAATCCTGTAAACAAGAAGAAACTGTTGATCTTATGATCTAATAAGCTTCTTTCAGTTCAGGATCCCTTTTAGACTAGCTTATCCATACATATCTACTCATCTTTTCTAAAAATTCATATAGATGACGCAATTATCAATCAGTTCATTAGTGTTAATGGGAGAGTAGTATTCAGCTCCATTGGAAATACTTCCTTTAAAACAATTAATTACTCCTAATTATTATTTTTGGTGGATAATTGAATTTTCAGGTGTTGGCTCGCACGGATTTGACAGATTCCAAGTGAGATCAATAACTGGTTTCAGTTAGGAGTACTGAACAACTATTTCGTCGTAGTTTGATATAAGCCTGAATTCATGAATCATTGGGTTCTGGTCTCAGTGGCTAAATTGTTTACTGGTTTGCCTTACAGCCTCAATGTCTTCGGTTGCGTCATGGGTTCGTACTCTTGAAGAGTCCACATTGGGACGAAACAGTCATCCAGTGAACTTCTTCGGACTCAGTGATTCTCAAACTAGTGTCAGTTCATGATCTAAATTGGTATTTAAACTGTGAATCATTCGTATAAGTAAATATTACGTCACAAAGCCAAATTATATATATAACAGATTGATATCAGTTAGAACCATTGGAAACCAGGGAGTAGTGGACATCTGCTTCGTCCTAGTCCGGGACTCTTCGGAAACATGCACCCACCAGGATTCTAACCCGGGACCTCCAGATTACAAAGCAAGTCTGTAGACTATTCAGCTGCTGGGACTCAATTTAATGGCTCATGAATCCTAACTTCTAGCAATTCATGATTTTAGTACGACCACTAGTAAATGATCCTGAGTTCAGACCCCAGTGGGTGCGTACTGCCTAAGAGTCCCAAACTAGGACAAAACAGCCGTTCAGTACTCCCTGTTTTCTAATGATTCTCTAACTAATATCAATCCATAATCAAACTGGAAACAAATCAAATCTACAAATTGACTATTGAATATATATATATATATATATATATATATATATATATATATATGTATTTTACAAATATGTAGTGAATATTACTTACCAAATTAGACGTCAATACATTGACACAATCATTTTCTCCTATGATATTCGACAAATGATTACGTGTTAACAGATCAGAATAATAACATTTCATATCATTTTCTAATTTATTTTGTTCACATATACTTTTACGTTGTTCAACATAATCTTCATATATATGTACAAGTTGGCCAAACATCATATTTAACCAATAGAATTGACTAGGATAAGCACAAGCAACAATTGGTCCTAAATCCACATGTAAACGTAATTGAAAGTCTGATACATTACTATTATTACTATTAGTAGTAGCATTATTCATTGAGTTAGAAGGCATCGAATTCATATTAGCTGATCTCATTGAATCATCTGATTGTACAGTTGAAGATGGTGTGAAATTCGGTGTTCCACTTAGTGCTGAGCCGACACGTAGACTTAATCGTGCTGTATGCTCTGAACCGGATAGAGTTAATAGTTTAGCTGATGAAACCATTGTATCAGCTGTTGGACCACATGTCTTCTATAAATGAAAAATAAAAACCAAAAATATTAAATGTAAATGCTTATAAAATGATATGTACGTGAGTTGTATTCATAAGTCATACGATCCGACAAATTTATTGTAGTGTAAAAGTTAACAGGTGATGGTCATTTAACCTATTATTATTATTACTTACTTATATACAGTAGGGAATATATACACGGACATAATTTAGCTTTTGTATTTACTTTGTATAATTATTATCTCTTTCCACTGTAAAAGCGAAAGAGGAGGGAGTATAGCTTGGTATTGGAGGTGTTTCAACTTCACCTCCAACATGAATACTCAAATATAAATACTTAAATGAACCATTACTTAAATATCAATGAGATGCTCACTGGCGACTGGCCCTATTCAAGTAGGTAGTTACCTGGGGTTCTGGTGGGAAGTCGTGACCAGTAGGGTGCAGCAGGTCGGGTGTGAGGACAAATACTCGCCGAAGACATTGGCTAGCAGTTGCGCTATATCGTGAATTGGCAGAAGTTAGAATTCATGGGCCATTGGATCGGGTCACAGTGGCTTAATGGTCTACGAGCTCGCCTTGTAACCAGAAGGTCCTGGGTTCGAACCCCGGTGGGTGCGTAGTGCTGAAGAGTCCCAAACTAGAACGAAACAGCTGTTCAGTACTCCCAGATTTTCCAATGGTTCTCTAACTAATGTCAGCTCACGATGAAATCCTGTAACCAATTATAATATCTTTCCACTGTAAAAATCGAAAGGGGAGGGAGTATAGCTTGGTATTGGAGGTGTTTCAACTTCACCACCAACATGAACCCTAATTCTGATCAACAAGAGCCACCTACAACAACATTCTCCACATTCAAAGTTAGTGCAAATCCTTCACTGACAGAGGCAAGTTTCCCTGTTCGACGGCTGCTAATTTTAGATATCAGCGGCGATTATGAACTGTGGAAGTTTCGCATGTGATGCGTCCCGAGCCACTTCTCATCACAGGATCATTATATGCAGGTCATGTTGGCTTTGGCCGATGATGCACCCCGCCGAGTGGTCGCTGTAATTTAACACACTTGCGAACAATAGGGAGATTTTGGATGAATGCTTCAGACTCGACAAAATCCCGTCCACCTACATTAATTACTTCGTGAGCCGCCAGCAGCAATCTGGTGAGAAAGCCTCGGATTACCTGTACCAGCCTTTTTCACACTGCTCAACTCTACCATAGACGAGTTTATCTATGCATGTTTCGACTAGGGTTTCCTAGCGCACGACTTAAAATGTCACTTGTTACGTACCCTAGTGAAATCTATCTCGGAGGCTCTACAGGTAGTCAAGAGATTCTAAAGTGCAGACTATCTCCTTTCGTCAACTGCCAGCTCTACACATGCTACTCCTTGGAGCCTGCAGAGCAAAGATCACACGATAATGCGCTTCGGTAACTTTGTACTCTGCTTTGTCCTACAACTTTTCATTACCAGGGACAGAACTTTTAAGCGACAGATCAAGGATAACATTAAACAGTTCGCTAAAAGTAATCTGTGATTGAGGCAAGTCGATTTGGATGTGGTTGGTTGATTCGCTTCACTTAAAAACCAAAGAAGAGTTAATCTTTGGATTTTTATAAACCGATAAATAATCATAAGACCAAGAGTAAAAACTAACAACTACTTTGGTCTATAAATCATAGCGCACTATGTTAATGTAATCAAAGTACTTCTTGAAGACAGTAAAACAACAAACGTGAAAATCTTCATCACTCAAAGTAAGAGAATTTGTATTGACACAGTTCAACTTTAAACAGCCAGGAGACGCGAACTCATGACCTTGGAAAGAGCAATTGTACTAAACAGTAAATTTCGTCTTCCTAACTATGGGGATATAGGAGACAGGAATACGTCAGACCAATAAGAAAACTTTAGAAGATCTGGACTTAGCGGATGATTTATGTTTCATGTCACACAAACTTGAAGATATACAGGCGTAAACCAACAAGTGGACAGCAGAAGCAGTGAAGACAGGACTTCAAGTGAACATAATGAAGACAGAAGTGATGACGATAACCAACCACCACCACTAACAAAAAGCACCGGTCACTATTAACAGGAGAAATTTGAACGAGATCACTTCCTAAGCTTATTTGAATAGCATCATTTTAACTACTGGCGGCACAGATGAGGATGTCAAAAACAGGATCGAAGAAGCGAGACAGATACTCATTACTCTGAAATCAACGTGGAAGTCTACTGCACTCAGCATAAAGAACAAGATTCAGATTTTCAACATTAATGTCAAGTCAATCAGTGTTTCTATATGCTTCAGAGACTTCGCGCTCGTGTTATCAAAAGCACTGCCAACAGCCTACTGCAGACTTTCATCAACAGATGCTTTCGCACCATAATGAGGATCAGATGGTCAGCCAGAAAGGATTAGCAGCATGGAACTCTGGCAACCGACGAACCAACCAAGAATCTATTACCCAAGAAATATGCCGAAGAAAATATAGATGGGTCAGACATACACTGAGACCATTGAGTAACACTCCAGGTCCTCGAGTGGAACCCAAATGGGAGACGACGAGTTGGACGTAAGTCTGAGGAGGACATGGAGGGGATCGTGTGAGAAGAGATAAGAACTTAGGAATAATTGTGGAGCTAGCTGAAGAAGGCTGAAGAGAAGAAGATAAAATGGAGATGAGCTGTTGCAGCCCTATATTCCACTTGGAATCCAAAGGAAAATAATAATAGTAAAATCCTAATCTATCCCTAACCTGACTCTAACTGAGAAGTAACTGTCGCAGAGGAACAATATAAGACCTTCATAATAATCCGATGAATGATTTCAATGAAACTTAATGCACAATCAACGATGACTGAAGGTGAATTAAAGTCTGTGCCCCTGCATGACTCAAACCACAGACCCCAAGCTAGTAGAGAGCCAGGGTAGTAATTCAGAGGTCACTGGATAGTCACCATTAATAAACATTATGTATATTTTGGGGAGTTTAAAGCTTGTTTTCATGATTCTTCAATAAATCTGAAAACATTCTTGATTATTCAAAGTGACTAGTAAAACCTGAGGAGTTTTACTGACTTTGTTCCGACAACTCAGAAAATACAAAACTTGGAATAATTAAGCAGCTCGTATACACATACACACATACATACACATGAATGCGAATTGAGCTATGTACACGCCTCAGTTAAAAGCGAAACCATCATTCGCACTATTGCGTCATCTCTATCCAAATACAGGTAAAGTGTCCACCCTTTTGTGCTGATGTGCATCGTTTGATTAACAACACTAACAACAACAACAGCGACAGGTTATGTATAGTGATATCTATTTTGTCTCAAATTACACTTTATGGACGACGATAACAACCACACACACACACACACAAAATATATTTCAGACTTCTACTGGTCGAAATTTCATAACATGATCAAAAATGCTAGATTTTGTTGAAGGTAACCAACAAATTTTGGTATCATATACACCTACCTACAACTTTCAGTCATTAAATATTGGAACACTTACATAAATCACAGTTTCATCTCTGCTAATTAAAATGTAATATACAGCGTCAGTGGACAGTTTTACAAACAACCTCCAATTATTTTGAACATGTCTATTTAAAGAGTACAGTTAAACATGTAAAATGCAAGGGGGGGGGACACTTTTTACATCAGAATGAGTTGATGCATGATTACGGTAGTTTTAAAGTAGAAGAATAAGGATGTAGTAGTTTGCTGAAATTATCAATCATTAGTTAGTTAGTTATTTAGAACTCAGTTATGGAGAACAGATTTTTTATGTACCAGGCTACAAGCCACACTTCAGTACTGATGATACTACCCAGTTAGTTACTCAGGTTGAAGTGAGTGGAGTGGGACTCGAACCCGAGAGCCAACAACTGAAAGTTAATTGCTTCAACCAATGAATTAAAACCTTGTCATACTGTAACAACAAAAGACAAGGGCCAGGCAACAGATCGTTTATTAAGGAAAATCAACACATATTTATAGATTTTAATGTACATTATTGTAGACTATTGTTAGTAAAAAATACAGTCTTTTGATTGGTTGTTTCTCACAGAAAGTTAACCTTGCATCTCTTTGTGGCTGTGTCAGATCATCCATATGCTAACTGTATCCGCCTACGCACAGCCTTTGTTCTCATTTTCTCACCACCAATATTGGGGACATAAACATTGACGTCAATTACTGTCTACCAACTTTGGCTAGCAGCCAGCTCTCACCACAATACTACCAGTTGGGTAGTCACATTAAATTTACCATAACAGGTATGAATTGCTGCTTCATAGAGGAAAGAATTTGTAAATATTTCGTAAGCTTTATTTAAAGAGTAAGCCACTGTGAAGAGCTTCAGTGTTTCATTGAATTATTCCACACACTTAGTGATCAAACGCTTAAAGCCAACATTAAATACACAACAACGAAATCGGAATAAGAGTGTCAACACTTCTAGACTTGGCATTGTATGTGAATGATTTTGTCGCTGACTCGAAGTAGGGTCTTCTGAACACCTACAACATAAATCTTCAAATGTCTAGCATGCATCTCACTCCAGTTAAATGTAAAATGATGGCTACAGAACTAGACTATATCAGCTCTCAGTTTAATAATAGGAAGTGAAGTGGCTGAGCAAGTTTCATCAGACCCAATGGATTGATTGCTGACGAAATCTCAGCTCGGATACAAAAGACCCACGTGACATTTGCCAAAGTATGTCATCTCTGGTGTAGACGTGACACCCAGCTATCGATCAGAAGACGTGTGTACTGCGAAGCAGTTCGCTCTGTCCTCCTTTATGCCTATGGGACATAACCATCGGAAGTGGAAGATATGAAAAGGCTAGTTATATTTGATTACGTATATTAGCATTCTACCTCCCGTGTTGAGTGGTATTATATAGTGGAGCAGTATTGAGTTTAGGCGTAAAGTATTAGGTAAGGCAAGAGACGTCGACTGAGATGGCTACGGCATGTATTACACGCAAGC